TGCTGGGGAGGGGAGGGAGAGAGGGAATTTCGTTGAGGGAGAAGGGTGTATGGAGGGGAAGGAGGGGGTGTGGGGGAGGAGTATTCCGGGGAGGGGAAGGGAGGGGAGGGGGAAAGGGTGAGGGAGGGAGAGGAAGAGAGGGAAATGGACAAAGGGATATTCAGAGCTGAGAGAGGGGGAGGGAGAGGGGGAAGGGGAGGAGGGGGAAATTACGGGGGAAAGGGGAGAGGTAGGGAGTATCCTACAGAGGAGGGAGAGGGGGAGGGGAGGGGAAGGGGAGGGGGTATTCCTGGTTGGGGGGAGGGGGAGGGGGTATTCCTGGTTGGGGGGGAGGGGGAGGGGGAGGTGGTATTCCTGGTTGGGGGGGAGGGAGAGGAGTAGGGGAGGGGGAGGGGATATTCCTGGGTGGGGGGGAGGGAGAGGTAAAGGGGGAGGGGGAGGTGGTTGTTCTTGGTTAGGGGGGAGTGAGAGGGGGAGGGGGAGGGGGAGGGGGTATTCCTGGCTGGGGGGAGGGAGAAGGGGAGGGGGAGGTGGTATTCCTGGTTGGGGGGGAGGGAGAGGAGTAGGGGAGGGGGGATATTCCTGGGTGGGGGGGAGGGGGAGGTAAAGGGGGAGGGGGAGGTGGTGTTCTTGGTTTGGGGGGGAGGGAGAGGGAGAGGGGGAGGGGGAGGGGGTATTCCTGGTTTGGGGGGAGGGAGAGGGGGAGGGGGAATTCCCGGATTCCTGCGGGATTGTCTGCCACCGATGCCTTGTTATTAGGCAGAGGAATTGGGGGTTGTTTTTACACCTGCGTTTGTTTGTTTGTTTGTTTGTTTGATGTTTTATTTTCTGTATTCTCTGTTTCTTTTTTTCTTTTTCTAGATTTTTCTTTTATTTTCATTCCTTTCGGTTTTGTTTATTGTCTTTTTTTATTCTGGTTTTCTTTCTTCATCTCTTTCTCTCTTTCTCTGCTTTTCTTCTCGGTTTCTCTCTCTCTCTCATTCATTTTCTTTATATCATTCTCTTTTGATTCATCTCTCTCTCTCTCTCTCTCACTCTCTCACTCTACCTCTCCTTCCCCCTCTCCTTCTCCCTCTCCCTCTCCCTCTCCCTCCCCTTCCCTCTCTCCCTCTCCTTCCCTCTCTCCCTCTCTCCCTTCTTGACCCTCTGTCTCTCCTTCCCACCCTCTCCTCCTTCCCTTCATCCCTCCCTCCATCCTTCCCTCTTTTCCTCTTTCCCTCCCTCTCTCCCTCCCTCCCTCTATCCTCCATCCCTCTTTCCCTCTTTCCCTCTCTCCCTCCTTCCCTTCCTCTATCCCTCCATCCTTCCATCCCTCTTTCCCTCTTTCCCTCCTCCCTCCCTCTCTCCCTCCATCCCTCCCTCCCCCTACCCTCCATCCCTCCCTCTCTCCCTCCATCCCTCCATCCCTCTTTTCCTCTTTCCCTCTCTCCCTCCTTCCCTTCCTCCCTTAGTCAATCCCTCCATCCTTCCCTCCCTCCCTTCCTCCCTCCCTCTATCCCTCCATCCCTCTTCCCCTCCCTCTATCCCTCTTTCCCTCTTTCCCTCCCTCTTTCGCTCTTGCCAATTCCGGCTTATATATGTGTGTTGCTTCTGACACGATAGAACCTGCAGCTGTTTTGGCCTCACTCTCTCACTATTTTCCCAATTCCTTTCTACTTTTTTTTCCCTTTTTTATTTCCTCTGTCTACTCTTCGTTTCTTTCTTTAACTCATATTTTTTTCTTAGTATGTTTTGGCCTGTTTTCATTTTGCTTCTGTCTCGTCCCGTGTTTATTCTGTCTTTCTGTTTTACTCTCTCGTTTTTGTTTCTCTCTCTCTCTCTCTCTCTCTCTCTCTCTCTCTCTCTCTCTCTCTCTCTCTCTCTCTCTCTCTCTCTCTCTCACTTTCTCTCTCTCTCTCTCTCTCTCTCTCTCTCTCTCTCTCTCTCTCTCTCTCTCTCTCTCTCTCTCTCTCTCTCTCTCTCTCTTTCTTTTTCCCTTTAACCTTTATTTCAGGTATAACATGAAAGTACATTTACAGAAGTTTGTCAAAGCTTTGAAATATTACACGTGAAGCTACCTGTGGTAAGAACTCAAGAAGTGAACATTAAAATAACAACGAGACCAAGAAGGAAAAAGAAAAAAAAAACGGACGGACGGACGGAGAGACAGGCCAACAGACAGGCAGACAAACATACAGACAGGCTGACAAACAGACAAGCAGGCAGACAGACAAACAGACAGGCAGGCAGGCAGACAGACTGACAGGTAGGCAGACAGACTGACAGGCAGACAGACTGACAGGTAGGCAGACAGACTAACAAACAAACAGACAGACAAGCAGACAGACTGACAGACAAACAGGCAGACAGACTGACAAACAAACAGACATACAGGCAGACAGACTAACAGACAAACAGACAGGCAGGCAGACAGACAAAAAGACAAAAAAGGTAAAAGAAAAGAAAGACAAACAGACAGAGCGACATAACCTACCACAGCCCCAAGAAAACAGAGACTCAC